GGTTTTAACAAAAAAAAAAAAAAGCAAGCTGTCTAGAATTTAACACTCAAATTATTTTTTTTTCCTTTTAATGAACTGTGATAGAGAGATAATATGTTGACTTACATTGTCAGGTCCATTTTTCGATGGCAGCATTCGGTGGCTGGTTGTGCTCATTTCTATGGCTGTCTGCATAATCGCTATGATCATCTTCTTCAGCTGCTTTTGTTACAAGTAAGAAGATTTATTTTGGAAGGGGGAACTGTCAGGTTCAATTTGGATATTTATGTAAAACAGCTGAGTATTAAGGATTTACTGTAAATACTGAAACTGTTCTGAAATGATGCAAAATATTAAAAATACTTTGTTCAGTGTTAGATATCAACAGTTGTTCTTATACCCAGCGGGCAGAAACCATTGACCACAGTATGTAATTCAGAAACTGTTAACCTGTGTTCTGTAGTATATTTATCCTTTAACTAGATTACAGTTTTATAAGGTAAAAAAAGGATCTCACTACCAGTCAATTAATTGAGCACCATTTAATGCTTATTTATATGCTTATGTACATTCATGAATAGTTATAATTTTCTTATTAATGGCATATTAAATTTTCATGTATCTGAATTTCAAAAACTTGTCCATGGAAACTGACTATATTATAGTTCTTTAATTATTTGGGACTTTAGAATTGTTTGCATTTAATTATCACTCAGAAGACAGTTGCTAAGTTTTGATCACCATTTGGTGGTATGTCTTATTCTAAAAATTTTAGTATGACCCACTACCCTAATGTTTTTGTTTTTGCTTTTTCAATTGAAATTTAAAACTTTTTTCTTAATTTTACTACACACACACACACACACACACACTATCTTGTTCTAAATATTTCTAAATAACTTTATTGACTTTTAAGGTTACAATAGTATATTGACTTTTACGGTTGCAATAGTAATACATTCTATTCTAGAAAAGGTTCAGCGATACAGAAGTAGTCATGAAATGTTCAAACTTCCTAAATCTCACTTGCACAGGTGATTTAGAAGTTTATTGTGTTGCAACAACATGGATAAACCTTAAAAGCATTCTGCTAAATAAAATAACTCAGAAAAAAATGGACAAATACTGTATGATTTCATTACATGAGATATTTAAAATAGGCAAAAAAAAAATATTAGTGGCTACCAGGGACAATAGTAGAAGCTCTGGTAGCATAGTGCCTAAGGCATTTGACTGCAAACCAGAAGACTGGTGGTTCAAACCCACCAGCCACTCCTCAGAAGGAAGGTTGGACAATCTACTTCCATAGTTGATACCACCTCGGAAACCCAAGGAAGGGGTCACTGTGAGTTGGATCCAACTCGACAGGAGTGAGTTTGGTTTTTGGTTTGGTGTAGAGACAGTAGTACTTACCTCTTAGGGATTTTATAAAGAAAAAGGGAAACAAACATGTAAAATAGAACATGACACATGTAAAATAGAACTTGACAAGTTCAGCATCAATTAAAATAAGCTATTCTTTACATGTTGTCAACATGGATAAATGTGTAAAACATGTTGTAAATATTAATGCAATATATGCCACTTATGTAAATTCTTGCACAAAAACTATGTTGTTAATGTATATATACATATTTGTAGAAGTATAAATTCATAGATAGGCTATAACCAGCTTCAGAGTAGTGTAGAAAAGGATAGAAAAGGAATTATCAGGGGAATAGTTGGAGTTTCAAATATTTGTTTACTTAAACATGTGAGAGCTAGAACTTGACAGGACTGCCTTATTTTTCTGAATCTCAAGTTTTCTACCTTTAAACAGGGTACACCTTTCCACTTTACTTTTGTTCTCTATTGATGGAAAATATTTTAGTTTTCCTTCTCTTGACAGTTTTCTGCCTTACATAGGTTCCACCTTTCACAGGTTTATGTATATCTCTAAAATAAACACAGCATGTTAATACACATTTAAAATGGTATACACATCAGTGGAATTAATCTCTGCTTTTCTGTATGTTTGAAATTTTTAATTGAGAAGTCTTAAAAAATACCAGAATCTGCTATTAAGATAACTTGTTTGATTTCTGTAAGTTCCTTTTCCCTTTTTGCATTATGAAAATACATTTAATGTTTTGTTTTGATACAGAAATACAGTTATAAATTCAAATATATATAAAATAGAAAGCGAATATTCTCACATCTCCCGAACTGTTACTTGCAATTTATTATATATTCTTTCAAAGCTTTTTGGTCATATGTAAACAAATCTTTTTTTTTTTTTATTTAACTTTTTTGTAATTGGCATGAAAGTTTACAGAGCAAATTGGTTTTCTGTTCAACAGTTCATACCCATTTTGTGTGGTGACACTGGTTGCAATCTCCACAATGTAACAGCACTCCTCCCACTTCCTTCCTATACTTTCCCTGCCTTCTGAGTTTTATCCTTAGGCAGAGGCTGTCCTTTTAATCTTGTTTGGTTGATTGTTCTAAGGAGTGTGTACCTCCCAGAAGTTATTTTTCACGTTATAGGCCTTTCTAAAGTTTGCCTAAAAGTTGACCCACAGGGATGAGTTCTGTTTCAGGCTTGAAGGATTACTAAGGGCCATAGCCTTAGGGGTTCCACTAGTCTCTATCATATTTATAAGGCTGGTCTTTCTGAGTTTTATTCAGCATTTTTTACTCACTCTGTCTAGAACTTTCTATTGTGATCCCTTTCAGAGTGATCATCAGTGGTAACCGAGTATAATCTGATTCCTCTGGTCTCATGGTTCTGGAAGCTGAAGTTTACATCGTCCAGTTATCTTTGATTTTTTTCACTCTTCTTTGCTCTTAGGGTCTCTGGTAGTATAGTGGTTAAGGCATTTAGCTGCTGACTAAAAAGTCGATGGCTCAAACCCACCACCCACTCCACGGAAGAAAGATGAGGTAGTCTGCTTCCATAAAGAGTTACAGCCTTTGAAACCCTATGAGGGTCGCTGTGAGTTGGAATTGACTCGACAGCAGTGGGTTTGGTTTAGTTTTTTTGTGCTTTGCTCTGGATGGGGAGAAGACTACCTTAGATGGCTACTCAGGAGCTCTGGTATAGTGCCTAAGGCATTTGACTGCTAACCAGAAGGCTGGCTGTTCAAACCCATCAGCCACTGCTTGGAAGGAAGGTTGGGCAATCTACTTCCATAGTGCTACTGCCTCAGAAACCCAAGGAGGGGTAGCTGTGAGTCAGAACGGACTCAACACAGGTGGTTTGGGTTTTTTTGTTGTTGTTTAGATGGCCACTTGCAAGGTTTTAAGACCCAGCCACGACTCACTAAAGTAAGATGTTGAACATTGTCTTTATGGACTGTGTTATGCCAGTTGACCTTGTTATCCCCGGTGACTATGGTCCTGAGTCCTCAGGCCCAGTGACTGATTTGCTCAAGGTATTTGGCTATGGCTCAGAAGTTTTCCTAACTTTGCCCCATGTGCTCTTACTACAAACATGGAGATATTTATAGCATATACAAATAAGTATGTAGAAATACTGTCTACCAAACTTTAAATGGTTGTGCCTATAGTCCGTTTGCCTACCCATACTTGTTCATCTTGACTGTTTGCCTGTGTATTTACTCATAAATTGATGTTTGTTATTTCTTTTAATGCAGAATTGTATATGTAATGATATTTACCTCACTTCTCCATATCTTCCTTTTCCTTAGTGATATTGTGCTGATCAGTCCCTTATTGTATATTGCCTTTCCTGTCACCTAAACAAATATGCATCTGTTATCTAGTTTGTGATTCTGCCCCACCCCACCCCTGGTAATTATCAAAAAATGTTTCTTGCTGTGTGTAAACCTTTCCTTGACTTTTTATAATAGTGGACTCATAAAATACTTGTCCTTTTATTATTGATTTATTTGCCTCTGCATAATGCCCTCCCAGTACATCCACCCATGGTATGAAGTGTTCTGCACATTCTTTATTATTATTTAATGTTGCGTAGTATTCCACTGCATGTATGTACCATAGTTTGTTTATTCATTCATCCATTGATGGGCACTTGGGTTGCTTCCATCTTTTTGTTATTGTGAATAATATTGCAATGAACGTCAGTGTGCCTATATTTATTTGTATCCTAGCTCTTATTTCTTTAGAATATATACCTAATAGTGGGATTGCTGGATCAAATGGTATTTCTATTTCCAGCTTTTCGAGGAAGCACCATGCCATTTTCTACAGTGTTTGCACCATTTTATAGTCCCACGAACAGTGTATGAGAGTTCTGCTCTCTCCACACCCTCATCAGCTTTTGTTGTTTTCTGTCTTGCTGAACTTGGCTATTATTGCTGGGATGAAATGGTATATTGTTGTTTTGATTTGCATCTTTCTAAAGGCTAATGATCACAAGCATTTCTTCATGTGTTTGTTGACTGCCTGAATACCTCCTTTGGTGTGTCTGTTCTTGTCCTCTGCCCATTTTTTAATTGCGTTTTCATCTTTTTGTTGTTGAGGTGTTTAAGTTTCCTATAAACATTTGCCAAATATTCTGTCCATTCTGTAGGTTCTTGTGGTGGTTATGTTGTGTGTTAACTTGGCTGGGCCTTGCTGAGTGGCTGGGCAGCTGGTGGTAGTTAATCCCCATGATGAGACTGGCAGTCAACTCCATGGTGGGATCTACCACCAGCAGCTGAGTAGCTGCTTTTGGGATGTGGTCTGCTTCCTGTATATAAAAGGAGAAGCGTTGGGAATGGTTTCTAGCTTATTGCACTCTTGGACCCTGCGTGTAGCGTGTCTTTGTTGAGTAGCCTGCCGTGTTCTGCCAACTTTAGGACTTGAATTAATGGCCTGCCGTGTGGTTTGATAACATCGGGACTGTGCCTTTTTACTTGTCAACCTTGGGTTTTTCAGCCTCAGCAGCCAGCAGCTGTCTGAGTGAAGAAACGCTTCTAGCTCCAATGGGCTGGGAGCAGGAGGCAGAGCTGGACCCCAAGGTTGAGGGGCTTTCACCCAGCCCCTGGAGCCCAGCAGTTGAACTTGGACTTAAAACCTCCAAATTGTAAGAATAAACTCCTGTTTGTTAGGGTCATCCCATTTGTGGTATATTCTTGTCAGAGTGGCACTGGGTAACCAGAACAGTTCTCTTTTTACTCTTTTGGAGAAGTCTTTTGCTGTGTGTAAATATTTAACTTTTGGAAGGTCCTAGTCAATCATCTATCTTCTAATGTTTGTGCCTTTTTTGTTATGTCTGTTAGTCTGTGTGTTCCATAAAATAGGGCACCTGAGTTTGCCTCTGTTTCTTCTTTGATGATTTTTATAGTTTTATGTTATACATTTAGGTCTTTGTTCCATCTGGAGTTAGTTTTTTAATGTGGTATGAGGTATGGATCCTGTTTCATTTTTCTGCAAATGGATACTGAGTTTTGCCAGTACCATTTGTTAAAGAGACTGTTTTTACTCTGCCTGCTGGATTTTGAAGATGAATATTTTTTGAAATTTTTATAGCTAGGATCCCACTTTATATGCTGTTTTTAATCTGCTCTTTTCACTTGCCAGTACACCATGGGCATCTTCCCATTTTAACAAGGTACATAGGACTCTACTTCATAAAATCCATTAGTAGACATATAATAAGACTTAAGACTTATGGCTAAGTCTGGAATAAGACTTAAGACTTAATTTGGATATGAGTCTGTCTGATGGAAGGATAATGGTGGAAACAACCTCAAGGTTTATATCAGAATTTCAAAGTTTTAATATAGATTGTTTTCTGCTGTTCTAAAAGGCATTATTGCAAGAGCATCTCAAACAGACGTCGTTATAATCGTGACTTGGAACAAGATGAAGCATTTATTCCAGTTGGAGAATCATTGAAAGACCTTATTGACCAGTCACAAAGTTCTGGCAGTGGATCTGGACTACCTTTATTGGTAAGAAAAAATTTCATATAAATATGAATGCTCTCTTGATACAGAACATGGCCTCATATGATGGTAGCACAGTTTTGGAAATTGGAAAATATTACTAGACATACTTTATTTGTTTTATTTATTTTAAGAGTTTGTTTTACATTCATTACATGTACGTTTAGTTTCACTCCCAGTTACCATGCCCAACCCTAACCCAGTCTCCTCCCCTCCCTGCCCAGTAACCCTCCTCCTGTGTCCCTCAGAGTTATGCACTCCTGTTTGTCCTGCATTACCTCTGTGTGAATGGTGCCCCCACCCCGGTGCCCGTGGTCTGTTGCTCCAAGGGATGTATTTCCATAGAGTATATGGGTTTGTCACCCTGGGTTGAGTGATCTACATGTATATCTTGTTAACTATTGGGCTGAGAGCCAGCCCCTGGGAGTGAGTTTTATTCCACATGCAGAATGTATTCCAGGGCCGTAGTATTTGGGGGGGTCTCACCAGACTCCATCCGACCAGTAATTCAGATATGAGACATACTTTAAATTTAATTAATTAGAAATATGTTTACAATAATGTAAGATGGTATTTGTTTAAAATAAGAAAACTAAGGTGAGCCACAGATGAGGTTAATAAAGAAAATGTGGTCATAAAGTGTTACATCCTCATAATTATTACCATGCTTGAGCCCATCCTCACAGCCAGCTTGTTGTGTCAGTCCATTTCATTGATGGTTTTCCCCTTTTTCACTGACCCTCTACTTTAACAACCATGATATCCTCCTCTGGGGACTGGTCCTTTCTGATAAAACATAACTATAATATGAGAGAGAAGTATGGCCATTGTAGCTTCTAAGGAACATTTTGGCTTTACTTCCTTCAGTAGATTTGTTCTTTCTTCTGGCAGTGCATGTTTTTCACCAGCACCACAATTCAAATGCATCAGTTCTTATGTGGTCTTCCTTGTTCATTGTCCAGTTTTCACATGCATATGAGGCTACTGAAAATACCATGGCTTGGGTCAAAGGTATCTTAATCTTCAAAGTGGTATCTTTCTTTGCTCTTTAACAATTTAAAGGGGTCTTTTTGCAGCAGATCTTCCCAATGTAGTATGTTTGATTTCTTGACTGCTGCATCCATGGGTGCTGATTGTGCATCCAAGAAAAATGAAATAATTGACAACTTCAGTCTTTTCTCCATTTATCATGATGTTGCTTATTGCTCCACATAGATCAGTGGAATCGAGTAGTGTATCCAGAAGTGACCCACACATCTATGGCTAATTGACTTTTGACAGTAGTGCCAAGATAATTCAGTGGGAAAGATAGTCTATTTAACAAATGGTGAAGGAAAAATTGAGCATCTGTTTGATTGCCCAAAAGTGAAACTCTACCATTACCTTACTCTGTAAACAAAAATTCACTTGAAGTAGATCATAGGCCTAAATATAAAATCTAAGTCTATCACTATGCCACCAGAGCTCCTCCTAAGTCTATCCATCAGAATCAAATGTTGTAAAAAGTCATTGTGACCTTGGATTGTACAAAGATTTCTTAGGATATAAGAAACATGAATCATTTTTAAAAAACATGATAAACTGGACGTTGTCAAAATTTGAAACTTCTGCTATTCAGAAAACACTATTAACAATATGAAAAGAGGAGTTCCAGCAAGATGGCGGACTAGGCAGAAGGACTGCACAGACCCTCTTCAACAAAGAAAAGGGAAACCAATTAACACAGACAAAGAAGATAATCTTGGACTCCTGAGCCTTGAAGGGAAGGATACAGAAGTGGACTAAACCCCAACTAGCAGAAGAATTTGCATGAAAATACCCAAAAAAGGAGACATATGGAGCTGCGGTCTGACAGCGACCTGAGCGACCCTGACGGTACAGGCAGCTGGGAGATTCCCGACTGTTGGTAGGACCTAAGAATTAACCTAGAAATCACCCTGCTAGCCAGGGACTGCACGGACTGCACAGTGGCTGGGGAACAAACAGAAGGTGAAGAGAAAGGTGGGCTGAGTTGTGGACTTTTGCCGGTCCGGAGGGTACCGCCATTTTGTAGGTTTAAAAAGGGGCTTGACTATTTTGGATATTTAAATAGACAGCGCTCTCGCAGATTCCTGTGGTGGTAGGATTTAAGAATTAACCTAAAAATCACCCTTCTAGGGGACATCAAGCTCAATTGGCATAACATACTATACAAAACATTGTTCCACCTACTACTTTGCGAGTAGCGACTGGGACCTTAAAAGCTAGGAAGCTGCCATCTAGATGCAACAGCGGGTCTCTCCTCGTCAAGAAAAAAGAATAAAACCAAAATTAATGGAAACAATCGTCCTAGCGACTGGTACACCATCAGATCTGCAACCTATACAACCATGAGACCAGAAGAGCTAGATGGTGCCCAGCTACCACTGCCATCCACTTGGAAGGGATGTAGGAGATCCTGTATAAAGAGGGAGAACAATGTGGAACAAAACTCAAAATCATTTGGAGGCAAAAAAAAAAAGAAGGTGGGGACCAGGTTTGCTGGTCCAATAGAGC